GTCGCCAAGAAAACCGGGCATGAGCAGACGAATGAACTTTAGCCACTATCTAACAAAGATAATTCATTACCAAGTAAGGCGATAGACGGCTGGCTAACGCATTGAGACCCTTTCTTATTTATAAAAAATGCCTCCATAATTTCTCTTGAAAGCTTGTCTGGGTGCTTGAAGAGTACTTTTGTTTTTTCAAAAAGTGGGTGGCATCCACATTCGCGGCAATGCAAAGACAAATGTGAATGCGCAAATCCTTTCAAGGAACTGTGGTGTTCCCTTAGCCGTATATTGACACAACGCCCGGTCTGACCAATGTGCTCTCGCCCGCATGAAAATGGAGTTGAGTACACGACATTCTGCATGCACGGGAGAAACTTCATAGTATGTTTGATACTACACTGCTGATAAATTCCAGTCTTCCTGCCTTCTATGCGAGTGTTTACTGCCTGGCAAAGTCCCTTAAGCTTCGTTCTGCTTGAAAACCCAACGTTTAATCTGAACTTAGATGCTACTTTCTTTAATCTGTGCGAAAAAGAATGAACATATGGAATGTAGACACAACGGCTAAAATCTTTTTCTTTCACTCTGGAGGACTGCCCCTTGACCTCACGCAGCAGCTTATCGCAAGTCGTAGAAATGATAGAGTGAGGAAAGCCTGCATCACGCAGCCTCGCCACCTGATAGTTAACGCTGTCAAGCATACGATGGGGACAACTCTTATTGAGGGCGGACCTTATAGCGGAAGTGGCTATACCTCGTTTAATCAATTTCGAGTGCCCTGATCTGAAATCAAGAAGAGACTTCTTTGACCTCGGTTGATAGGTCCAACACACATGTTCCGCTTTGAAAGACAGTCTAAGGTCTAAGAACTGCAACTCCTCCTTTTCAGGAACCTCAATAGTAAACCTAAGACCTTGTCCCTGTTCATTAAACAACTTTACGACGTCCACAATCGATCTTTGGAAATTTAGCCTATTGACGAAAACCAAATAGTCATCCACAAAGCGGAAAATTCTCAAAGCTAATTCACCTAGGTTATCATTTATTTTGCGGTCAACGAAACTTAAAAAGATGCTGCTTAGTACTGGCGCTACGCAGGAACCTATGCACACTCCTGCCCTTTGGATAACCGTCCTTCCTTGCCACTGAACGATCGTGGACTTCAAGTAAAACTCCAAAAGCTCTAGGAAGCTAGCAACCGGTATTTTGCAACTTTCGACGAAGCCTAACTCATTCATTTGTCCCTCGATGGTCTGTTGCACGAATTTCAATAACTGTACATGAGGCAGGGAATAATAAAGATCTTCTATGTCTATGCTGAATCCAAAGCAACCGCCAGGGTTATTATTCTGCAGAACTTGAACTACGCAGTCAGAACTGGCGACTTCGAAAGGGTCCTCCAGCTTAAGCTGTGCGAGATTAGTCTGCAAGTACCCTGAAATAACATTTAACCATGACCTTCTTTCCGAGACGATGGTCCTGAAAGGATAGTTCTGCTTATGCGTCTTTACACTGAAGAAGGCCTGCAGAAGGAGCCCTTTTTCTCGCTTGACTTCGTTTGCTACTTTCGTTAATCCAACCTCATTCATCAAAGCCAAAGCACGTGATTTAATCTTAGAGGGATCAACGGAAACTTCGCGAAAATTCTTATCCATTGCTGTGGTTGCTTTTTCCAAATACAAGTTTTCCGGAATAATAACAAAATGTCCTTCTTTGTCAGACTCTAGAATGCGCAAATTACTATTCGCACAGAAATCAATCAGAGGTCCTAACCTTCTCGAACACCTAGAATCCTTCGACGGTTTCAACAACACATCGACGCACTCAGACACACACCTTAGTCTGTCCTCCTCCTCAGCTCGGTGAGCCACTGTCCTGGCTAAGACGACCTTATCCAGCTGTTTCAGACGCGGCTCGAGACAGAATTTGGGCCCTAGTTGAAGGACCTGTAGAAACTTGTCTGGTACTACTTGGTCCCCGATAATGGTCACATTCCCTGTTCCTTTCACTTCTTTCTTCTTAGGTAGCGAAGGTCGAACTTGACTCCATAAGAAAATGGCAGAATACCACGAAATAACGCTGGTCAACAAAGCAACGCCACTCGCGTGCACGGGGGCTGGGCTTGTTCGGGCACGTCATGCGCACGTCACCTCTTGGTCGTATGCCAGAGAGTGTGGGAAAGAGATTTGCCTTGCGAAGGCTACGCGAAGGAGCGGCAAGGATTTCGAGATCGCCTCCTCTCACCCTTGTTTCGCGCCGCTTCAAAAAATCTGTTTTCTCCGCTCGTAATGAACCGATTCGAAAAATTTTTGTGGCAAAACGTTCCTCATCAGACACCCAACAACTTCCACTGTCTAACTAAAATTCGGTATGAGGCCTGGTGAGTGGCCGTTTAATGTTGCTTTAATGTTGCTGGGTAACGAACTGTGATATGATGGAAAAATAGCAGTGCACGAAAGAGAATAGCTGAATCTGTTTACTGCTTTCTGCTAACGAATTATGGACTGCGGATTTGAGATCATTTCTCCATTTTCCCCTGAATTTCTTCAAAAGCACAGTAAAAATGTCAGTTAACTTGTTTGGAGAGCAATTTCACAGTGAACTAGCTACAGCATGTACTTAATAAACGTGATGTTACGAGTGTGCTGCAACCCATAACTTTATAAGACTCCCACAGACTATTTTCGGAGCTGGACTTCCTGAAAAGTGTCGCTTGACCTGTCTGCAGGCATTTAGGGCATCCATCACGGACACTGGGTGCGTCCGCCAGAGACACTGGGAGTGTCCTTTACAAACACCGAAGGCGTCCATTAGAGACGCTGCACGCATCCAACAGCAGGGCTGTGCCCTCCTCCTCGAGCGTCTCGGCACTCATAAAAGGCCAGCGCATCTGGCGTCGGCTGCTTCCTCGTCCACGTTTTGTACATAGGCTGAAAATATAAACATTTTGTTTCCTTCTGGCTGCTTTTTGGCTTGCCACTGCCTGGATGCTTCCTGCCCGGCGTTGGCCCTTGCGACACGCTACCAAACAGACCAATGGGGCCTCTTCGTAACAGTTCCCACGTGGCATCACTAGCTTCACGCAACGTACACAAATCCAGTGTTCTTGCCGGTTTCTGAAGCACAGCCACAACAGAAAACTGAAATACTTTGTTCCAGGTGGGCAGTTCCTACAGTTATTGGCACAGCTTACGACACAGCAATTTATACATGACATTGCGAAATACCACTAACAACCTCACACGGCCGCGCTTGTGGGTGGGTGGCTGTCCAAAGCACACCAATTTTTTTTTTTTTTTTTGTTCACTCCAGCCCCACAACGCCATCGGCTCAGTACACATTTCCTAGAGTTCACATTTGGACACTAGGTGTTGAGCAATGCATGATGGAATTTTCGGCTAACAGATTAATTTTTGCCACTTGCAGTCAGGTGAGCAATGGCCTCAAGATCAGTACCTTTCGAAAAAAAGAAAGGTGCTAACATTGCACAAGGCATAGCTATAAAAGAAGAACCCCAGTTTCCCTTGCTGGGGATACCACAACTGAACAAAAATGGACAAAATCTTATTGGTATATTTTTTTCAGCATTTTTTGTTTCAAGATATTTAGTTTGATGTAGTGGCCTTTCGAGATAAAGGATAAAAAAAAATCATTGAATTAGCACTGTGCCAGGTAAAAAAGTAGATTTATCCGTGGCCAACCACCCTGTGCACTGCCTTGGCCATCTTGCAACCCTCAAAGTCACTGTAATGCCTGTGCAATCTCAGAGGCCACAGCCAACTTTTTCAGTTGTTTGTGGGTGGTTGTAACGGGATAAGTGGATTCATTTGTGATTGCTAACCCCTAGACGCAAATAATGGCTCATTTAAGAGGCCAGGCCCCAACTACACCTACGTGCGCTGGCCTGCACGGCATTCCATAAAAAAAGGTGTGGAAGTCGGGATGGGGTGGACTGTGGTGGCATGGAAGAATACGACAGTGGCTGTAGTGTACCACTGCTTGCATGCAGCCACATGCGACATGAGGCAGTAAAGAGGGGATCATAATAGAAGGTGATACATTTGGCTTGTTTTTAAAGACGATAGTCTTTCTTGGGGACCTTCGACGCAAAAATTTTGGTCTGTCTGTCTGTACATTTGTCTGCTTGTTCACTCTTAACGATACCCTAAACGGTACCAAAGGAACCAAACGATACTCCAAATGGCCGACCCCATCCACAGCGCCCACCAATGTTGCTCAAGGTTCAGTGCTCACACTTGTGCGATTGTCAATTATAAAGCAATTATTGCACATATCTAAGGCACGATAACAATACATCAATATTATTTATGTGTATTTTTTACTAAAAAAGGCATACAAAAATAATTTTGAGGATTGTAGCCTTTATAACGCTGCACTGGCTATGCAACGCTTGCACGAAACGGCAAGTGTTTCCAACGCTTTGTTAAGACGACACGGTGGTGGCACCTACCCGTCACCTTGCGTTCTACCCCTTATCTCCTCAGAGACGGGCACGCATGCGCCCTATTTTCCAGGATAACCGCCAGATAGCGCTCCTGTCGCACGTGTGAGGTGACTTGATGCGCTCGTTCTCCTCCGCTGCACGCTTGACGCACTCTAACGCATTGCCTCCAGAACACCATTCACCGATTTTCTTGCACAGAACATCAAATAAGCGTATTGTTCACTCTCTCCAGACGCAAAACTATCGTCTTTTGATGACATTTGCAGTGTAATATGCAGATAAGGGGCCAATATTTTGTTGTTGGGAACAATCTTTGTTCATCATATCTATTTAGAAAACCATTTTAGTACATTAAAACAATGTTTCAAATGTATGGCTCTCAATAAAATTTTCTAGGAGAATTTCACTTGCTTTGAAATATCTGTTCTTTGTTATATCTAGTCTGGTTATAACGAGATCTAAGCGCGTCATGTAGGCTGAACAAACAGTGGTAATGGAAGCATGGCAACAAGGCAAGACCAAGTGGGGCCATTGTACTTACTGAGCGCAATTCGGGAGTGGTGTCAAGGGTCCGGACTAAGGGATGAATGATACGGGCTGCGAACTCCGAAAAGTCAAGAGATTCTGAGAGAATATCAATGGTCTCCAATGCAGTGCTGCCGAGACAAGAAAATACACATAGTTACTGCTATACCAGAACATGTTGTTGCCCTATCATTTACCACTAATAAAGAATAGGTAAGATAAATAGATTTAATTTTCTCAAACCGTAGTAAACAAGAAGAGGTGTGAAAAGTTCAGCATTATAGATGAATGGCATTCGTTCATTGATAAGTCAGCTCACACTGCACAACCAGAGCATTTACTTTTTTGGCTGGAGAAAGTATTCTAATAAGAGGGTAAAAAAATGTCTCCAGCTTATTAAATTTATCAAAAGAGCGATAGAGAAAAGAATGTAAATGTCAGTCTGTTAAAACCAGAATGCCAAAAAAAAAAGAGAAAAAAGAAACTTGACAACAAAACATGATGCTAGAAACAAGGTGACCTGAAACAAGAAGCATGCAACAATTTGCTAGCAAGCTAATAAACAGTGCACAACGAGGGACATATTTTGAAGCCCAGTGTATTTGTGCTGGTTAAAAATGTGGGTGCACTGCTAACCAGAATCAAAAATGATACTGTGGCTGCCACTAGATCGTTTTTTTTAAATATTTTGTACCTGTTAACGTGCATTTTATTTTCTCTCTGTTACTAAAGCATTGATTCACTATTTTAATGCATCTTGTTTTTGTCACTAAAATAAGATTCAAATCCTTCTAATTCAGGTCACAGTTTGAAGTACAAAAGACAGCCTGAGCCAGTGCTATGCTAGCATGTTAAGATAAGGTGCAAGACAAGAAGGCATACCACAGCAGTCTGCTAGATTGCCTAGGACGCACATACATAAAGGAAAGAAGGAATAAAGAAAAAAAATACCCACTTAAGGCACGAAGGTAAAGAAACAAATTAGCACATAAGGACACTTTCATACACTACGATTTCTAAGAAAGTGTACTGCTTCACTAAGAGTCAAAAGCATGGCCTGGTGGCACACATCATTTCTTCTTGAATATGTTTTTAAGTGTGTTGACCAGATGTTCGGTTCAGCATCACTCAGTTGTGAGGTTGTATCCATGCATGCAACAACTATGCTTGTTAGGTCTCAAAGTGCAATGCACTCATTTTTTTGAGGTAGCCATTCGGATATCATTCATTCATTCAATCAATCAATGGAACTTTATTTTCATGAAAATAATAATGAAAATGCAACGATTCTTTGAACCAATGGCCTAAGTGGCCAGTAGCTGGTCCAATACTATGTGAAACAAAGAATGTACAGGCCATCTTTGAGGGAAGAAACAAAAGCGATCACATAAACAAAAACAATACACATTTTACATTTTCTCTTGTAAACGTGCATAATACTTATTAGCTTTTAACTAGCTGGCACAAATTTATGAAAGAACATAATGAAAATCAGATCAAACAAACACACACAGATGCTTACATGTCTTGACTCGATAAAAAATATCACTAGGATGCTAGGCCGAAATTACCTACAGTTTTAATCTCTTTAAGAAATCATGTTCCATATTTTTGTTCCATCGAATTCTATGAGTCTTTCTCCATGAAACAGTAATAAACTGCGTGGTTGACTGAACACATGTAGGAGTAGAACACATGTAGGAGTAGTACACAGGATTTCTACTTGTGTTCGGTCAACCATGCAGTCAACTATGCAGTTCCTTCTTATTTTAATGTCGTACCAACTAGCCCTCCCTCCACTGCACTTTACTTTATCCATAAACATTGTAACATTTCAGCAGACTGAAATTACCACTAGAAGCATGTCGCATATTGCATATAGGAATTGAAAAAAGATCAGCAGGCAAATGTGAATTTATGTTATAATTATGTTATTTGTTGAAATGACAGTCTTGTAGTCGTGCAACATCAGAACTAAGACAATGCGTTGCGATTGAAAAATATTACTTACCGATTCACCTTGGCTAATGATTTTCAATGTACACTTTTAAATTCGTACAAGAGTTTTCAGACAACTTTTGTACGTGACACCCCTCGATTCCAGGCAGTAAATTATATGGCAGTGACACAATGAAAAATAGAGTGTACAAAGTATAGCTAGTAAAAAATATTGAACTGTTATTAGAGTATAACAGCCATAGGCTACCTTCGTACACACACCCTCTGTACTTGCTCATGCCAGTATACATAAAAAATGACGCCTGAACTGCAATGAAATTGATTCTTCAAACGTAGTGTTAATACTACTAAAGACAGATGATGATCTGCAGCTGTCCAGAAGATTCCGATCACCAGATTTGCATATTGGTGTTACGTTGGCAGCTCTAAGTACAATAAAATAAGCTTTAATATAAAACTTTAATATTTTCCTTTAGAATTATTGCTGATATGGTGTCATGGCCAGCCGCCTAGTTTCCTGGTAACTTCTTCATAACTTGTCCGGAATTCATTCGCCGTCTCATCACACATGTGGAAATTAATGGCAACCGTACATGGTGCATTTAAATGGGACATATGAGCAGGTAGCTTCCTCGCAAGGCTGACACCAATATTACTAATCGTTAAAATTGTCAACCACTTTGCATGTTATCAGGCGTATTACGTACTTTGCTACCCATGCCAGTGACGTCTTTAACAATTTGCCATATCTTCTTCGATCCACATAAGCTATCAATCCACATAAAAAAATACCAGACGAAGGCTGCAATTAGTACACTTCAGCGCCTGCTACGCTGTACTTCTTGCACTGAAATAAATCAACTAGCCAGACCTCCCTGTTTGCAAACCAAAGCCAGATCATGAGAGCAAACCAGGTAAGGCTAAAAGGACTTACGCTCTGACGTTCTTGGGGACATCAGCTGAGTCAAACAACTTGACAATGGGAGGCAGTATAAGGTGCAGGTAGTCATCGAGGTTGCAACCAAATTTCTGCAGTGCCGTCAGTAGCTGCATTAATTCAAGCATACAAATGTATAAATGTATAAAAACTGACTGCAAGAACTGTAACATGATCAAATGGTTTCAAGTACACAAAAACCAAGAATGCAAAAATGTGATTTATCCTACAGTTAACATAAAATATGTCCAGCACATAGTATGCAGGACAGTATATCGGTGCCAATGTTTGTTGACAAACACATGCACAAACTCTTTTCCAGTAAGGGCAATGATATGTGCAGCTGTGACTGCTATATGCCAAACGAAAAATTCTTTCCCACCGTGCTCACTTTTCCACATTGCCACACACCCTTCAAGGCAGAGTTCTTGAGTCAAATGTGTGGTGAAACCCCTTTTGTTCCGTGCATCACGTATGCAGTCATCAAATAATATTTTTTTATGTGTGCTTTCATTTTCATGTTGCCAAGTGGCAGCATTGTTATACAAAGGACTCTCAGATGTAGAAATATAATAAAAGGCAGGACAAAAATGACATAAAATAAACATGAAAAAATCTCTAAACAAGGGTTGTGTGCTTGAGCTGGCGTTAGACAAGTGGACTTGTCGAAACTCAGACTCGAACTTGAAGACTCAAACTTCAAAGCAAGACTTCAAGGTGTACCTTGAAGTCCAAATCAAGAGAGCACACAGTTCTAGCCTTTAAGAAGACAAGTCTACTTGTCAAACTGTCGACCCAAGCACACAACTGATTTTTTTTTATCGTAAGCTTCCCCTTCTTGCCATTTTTCGGACAATACAGACATGTATGTCCACCTACTGTCAGGAATTGCATCTACATGTAGTAGTAGGCTATTCTAAAGGTGGCTTCGAGTGCCACTATATCGGCCCTTTGTGCTTTGACAGTGTTACGGTACGCTCTAAAAAAAAAGATGGAGTAAGAATAGCATTTTTTTGTTCCACACCAACGATCATCATCTATCTTGCATTCCTTTCCTTACATGCTGAACGCGTGCTTGACCCTTTCAGGTCAAGAATGACATGCACATCATCAGCGTGACATATAGTACTCGTGCTATAAAACTAGTCAGCACAGATTTTTCAAGAAAGGAAGCACAAGCCAGCCAGATGAGATTTATTGTTGTGGGACAAATGAGCACCATTTCGCTCAATCTTTTTTTTTTAAAAGTGTTAACGCATAAGGATGGGATGATGCATACGACATGGGCCAAGCACGTAGCGCGTAGGCAGGATAACTGCTAGTCATCAAGAGTAACTGACTGTATTTTAAGAAAAGGCAAACATGCGTGAGGGAGACAGAAAGTTATGTGGGCAGAAAAGATTAAGAAGTTCACAGTTATAACGTGGTAGCAAAAATCACGACCAGGTTGATTGGCAGAACATGAGGGAGGCGTTTGCCCTGCAGTGAGTGTAGTCCAGCTGATGATGATGATGATACAATGATTCAATGCGCCTCAACTACTTCAATACACTTTAAGAAAGCGATGGCTTAACAGCCCAATATGACTGCATCCAGTTTTTTTATACAAAATAGTCTATAGTCTGCGCAGATTTTCAGGGTGAAAAGTTTTCGTTCTTGCCGGCTATAGCGTTTATTGATGACAGTACAAGACTTAATGACTACATCCGTCAATGGTCATTAGGGGAACACTACGGTAAATATTAAGGCAATGTTCATTGCTGAAATAGTAGTCTAAAAACCTCATAGTGCTACTTTCTTGCCAAGGATATGCTTATTTTAAATAAGATCGCATTTCAGTGGTTGGCACAATGTTAGCATACTTCAAATCACCCGCCTGAAAACGAACCTCCTGATGAAGTAGTTGCATTGAGCGAAGCCGTCCGCCTTTACTGCGTGGCCACCGACACTAGTAGCAGCCGGGCGAAAGTATTGAGGCCTACAGCAGCAAAAACAACCATGGAACAATTTTCGGCTTTCTTGGTTCCACTGGGCCCCACTAGATGGCACTAACTATCTAGCCGAACTAGGGAGCCTACATGACCACAATCTTTAGGATGGAGACATTTCGAAAAGTGCCTTAAAAAACCTCAGCCAAAATCAACGGGCAATCGGGCACGCTGTTGCCAGCTTCTGCCAAATTTATCATAATTTTTTGTGCACAGCCATTTTGGGGCCAGCCGTACATCCCCCCCCCCCCCCCCACCTCGCTACTCGTGATCTGCAAGATTAAATTAGTATGCAGTGCATTTTCAAGAGCCCTCTTTTAGCCTAAAATGTTATTAAGGCAAAAGCCTTCAACACATCAGGCATTAAATGTCGGTGGCGTCCAGTGTCGGTGCCAACACAAAGTATTAGATGCATCAAGCACGAAATGTAACCGTCGGTGGCATCGTCCAGCATCGGTGTCCACACGCTACCAAAGCCTCTCGTTACATGCATCGAACTCGAAACGTAACCATCGGTGGTGTCTAGCGTTGGAGTCAGCACGTTACATGCATCAAGCTCAAAATGCAACCGTTAGTGGCGTTGTCCGCTGTCGGTGTCAACACTAATCCATAAGTGCATCAAGCGCGAAATGTAACCGTCGGCATCGTCCAGCATCGCCATCAACACGTTACATGCATCAAGTTTAAAACGTAACCATCTATCCGTCCGTCCGTGCAACCGTCCGTGCATCCGTCTGTCCACTTCGACCCACTCATCATCATTCACCTCGTGGATCTGCTTTGATTTTTTGTGCTACCTGGAACTTCGATGTGCATAATGCTTTGTGTTGACGCTGATGCTGGACGCCACTGACGGACACAATTAATGCTTGATGCATGTACTGTTTCGTGTTGACACTGATGCTGGACGCCACTGACGGACACAATTCATGCTTTATGCATGTACCGTTTCGTGTTGACGCCGACGTTGGACGCCACCGACGATTACCTTTCACGCTTGACACATCTACTGCTTTGTGTTGACCTCAACGCTGTACGACACTGACGGTTAGATTTTTCACGATTGACGCACCTACTGTTTCGTGTTGACATCGACGCTGGACGTCACCGACAGGCACATTTAACGCTTGAAGCATCTACTGCTTCGTGTTGACGCCGACGCTGTATGACACCGGCGGTTACATTTCTCACACTTGACGCACCTACTGTTTCGTGCTGACGTCGACGGTGGACACCACCGACGGGCCCATTTCACCCTTGAAGCATCTACCGCTTCGTGTTGACACCAACACCGGATCATATTCTCGAAGATGAAATGGAGCCAAGCATACACGCAGTGCGGGCCACAATATCATCTGGCAACATTGCGTTTCGGCAGGCGGAGGAGCATTGGCAATATGTAGTGGGTCAAAAACTGGCACCACTCTAAAACAGGCTATCGTGTAGGCTCCCTAAGCTTAGCTAGAGTCAATGTATATGTTCCCGATGGGAGCAGAGTATCACATAGGTTCACCATCTTGCCTGGTTAGCAACCATAGTTCGCGACGAAGCCGCACTCTGTTTTTGCTGGTGACTTGCTTAAGCCTGTCGCCGATCGATGAAACATGTCGCCAATGGCCAGTTGACGTGGCTGGCGTATCAAGGACCGACAAAGAAAGTGGAAACGCATGCTTTCAGGACTGTGCCATAAGAGTTAAAAAGGATTTTTTTAAAATTCTGTTCGGTGAGGCAAAGTACAAAGGCGTAGCGTAGTGCCAAATAACATGCACCGCCGCTGCCGCATGGCCAAGTGGCACCACCTATAGAACATAAGCAACAACCCGCAAACACAAAATATAAGTCCTCCAATATTTAAGAAGTGCCTCATTGAGCTTATAGCACTGATTATTTAAGTACGTTTTTCGAAAATGGGGCCGAGTCCATGCAAATTCATTGCTGTCGAAGCTTAAGGACATGATTCTAAAGGAAATAATAGCACCAGTTCGTACCTAACGAAACAGAGCACACGACGGTCACTCTGAATTCCAGGTGAACGGCGACCGCTTTCGGTGATATGGCTTGTGCACCAGCTTTTTTGCAGTGCATAGTTTCTAGCACCGTTAGAAAACAAATGCGTTACTCTGATACCTAAGGGTAGCATATACAGTGACTCTAAGCCTAACCATGCAAAAACAATACTTTTGAACCACTCGCGCCATTCCTCACCATATGAATGATACGGAAATGTATGATTTATTTATGTATGTATGTTTTGTCGGTCCGATGGGCCCTTATCTGTAGCACGCATACTCGAAACAGGGAGAGGAGAGCACAGGCGCAGTGCACATGCGCGGGACGAGCGTCAGCATCCAAAAGAGCCACAGGGGGCAGAAAAGTGGCGGGCGAGATAAGAAGGAGTGCGAGACGAACCCGGGCGCTTTTTGGTGGCAGGCGAGCGATCGGATGTGATGTCGGTCGCCCTAGGCGCGATGAAGCTTTTCCTCATGCGTGCTACAGAGGGGAGACCACGCCAGTATAGGGGCGTTGGCTTACGCTAGTCGATGGCTCGTATTCTATAGCGAATTTATTTATTTATTTATTTATACATATACCTACAGCGCCCTCTGGGGGCATTGTTGTAGGGGGTTTACAAATTCAAAGTACATTTAAATCAGTGGGGACAAGCTGAATTGCACGGCACTCAAAAAATAAAAACAAATCAAAAACACCTAAGTCACAGCATACAATATCGTTATGTGACCACATACTCCTTTAAAAGGGAAGGAAACGCTGTGGAAGGGGCGGTCACAATGTTTTTTGAAAGACCGTTTCATTCGTAAATAGTTTTAGGAAAAAAAGTATTTGCATACATTGATGTTCGGCACATATATTCACACACTTTCAAAGGATGGTCCCGTCGTGATGAGATGTATGTTGGTAGTCTGATGTATTTGCCTTTATCGATCCCAGTTTTGCTGTCTATTAGGTTGTAGAAAAGACATAGCCTGATAAATTTATGCCTAGAGGAGAGTAACGGCCAACCAAGTGAACTAACAATTTCGCTAGACCTTCTGGTGAAGTCGTAATCACCCATCACAAACCGGGCGGCCCGTTTCTGAATGCGCTCTAATGCTCCAATATTTAACTTTACGGCCAGGTCCCAGGCAGTGCAAGCATATTCTAAAATCGGGCGTACATTTGACACATAAAGAACTTGTTGCGTGTGAGTTTGATTTACTGCTGTTATGTTTCGCGCTAGCTTTCCTGCTGTTGTTTTGTTGCGTATGTTCAATTGACAGTCAGTCTGCGGGGATTGTTTGTTCCGGGTTTTCGGTATTCCTGTGTGCATTAGTGCCGTGTTGAGCCGGTTTGGAAGGCTGTTTGTGATTATTATGAGTCGTGCATTAAAGGCGGTTCTCGTTCCCTGCGTTGCTGGCTCGTGCACTGCGAATTTTGGCTCACTGACACCCTGAGAGGAAGCAGAGCCTTCAGTTTTTGTATGGATCATACAGAAATAGACAAGCAGCATTTTATTACATGTTGTAATGCAAATAAGGTTTTCTTTTACTGCAGCTGGTTTGATCACCAGTGATAACTGTAATAAAGTGCCTTTGATGTGATTGGGATCATTTCCAAAATGTCCCACTCGTAGTGCATGTGGTGTCATACAGCTACCTTAATTTCCTGATAAGTTGAGCCCTGCTGTTGATAATATTGCCATTTTAAACATTCCTAAACATTACTCTTTCACTCTGATGCAAATTGTAATTTGCCTTTAGTGTTCCTTCAAGTTACGAGTGTGCAAGAGAGACCTTAGCAGTGACGGCCCTGTCTGCGCTCATGTCGTGCATGAAGACCTTGAGGGCATGGGGCACCAGCTTGGGCAGGTACACCTTGAAGTCTGATCCAAGGGAGCTCACAATCTGCTCTACCAACATGATGATGGTCAGTTGAATTGGGCTGTTCACTGCCCAGAACTCCTGCACAGGCATAATATTATGATTGTACAACACTGCACCATGACAATGAACAACAATACCAAGCAAAGCGCCCCTCTACGAGTCATTGAAAAGGGTGTACAAAGGTGAAGAAAAATTAATTAAATTTAGTACACAGTACATAACTTACCTTGATCAGGGCAAAGATGTCATCTAAATAATTGCGAATGTGCTGCTTCACAATGGCAATCAGCTGGCCAAGCTGCCGAAAATGGAACTGTAAAGGAATTGCCACATTCCACCAAATGATTAGCAATGTGAACTCATGAATTTTACAGCTTTCAAAGAAAGTAGTGCCACTCAATATTCCTCTGGTATCATGATGGCAGCAGTTTCATTGTGGTTAACAGGGACATTTGAAAATTGTAATATTCCTCACAACAAAAATTTAATGATTAAACTTGCCTTGTAAGAAGAACTGTTCATTCACTTTTGATTAAGCTATAGAGCTGATTTTTAGTTGGAGCTCCATGTGGTGTAAATTGAATCTATGTGGGCCAAAATAAAAGGATTTATCACGTTCGTGATACGTTCTAATTAAATTTACAAGCTTCAGACCGAAAATATTTTAAAGTGCGAAATGTCGTTTGTACAGAAAGTATTGGAACTCAGACATTAATACATAGCACAAAATCACAAGGGTATATATAATGCAAATATAGAACATTTAGACATAATTTCTTGAACATTATATGGCAAGAAAACTACAGCAATACTATCGAATGTCAAACATTTTAGCTTCAAACATAATGCAAAAACTCCTTTGCTTAATATTTAAAATTGGGCTTGAAATTCGCAACGCCAGAATAAACTTTCTGACAAACACCCCTCAGATAACGACGTTTGGAAGGCTCTCACATGACCAACATTTCTGTTGTCTCCAAAATATTGAAGCAATTAACTCTTTTAAAGGCAATAATTTTAAAGGCAATAAAAGAGAATTTTTTTCCAAATGCATTTGAGAACAATCCAAATTGAAAAGGACGCCAGCCTGACCATGTTTCTTGAAATGAACAGAGTTAGCTGTCATGGTGCTGTAACCACTTACTGGATTTTGGCATAGATATGAATTGTGGTACGCGAAATAAAAAAGAAGAAGCGATCACCGCCAACCTGCTGGACAACGGATACCCAGAAAGCTTTCTTTGCTGAGTACGCCAGCGACTTGGCGACCACGAAACTGCCCCCTGCCTGCATTCAGCAAAGGCTGACCCTAACAATGAAGCCTATCCCAAACATTCCTACCGCATCTCCGTCCCATACGTTCCGGGAATCAGCAAGCAATTGCCGAGAGTGCTGGGGAAAGAGGGCATTCAGGTGGCACACAACCCCGTCTTAACAATCGGGTGATTCTTGGCGGGACCAAAAGACCGACTGGTAATGAAAGATTCCCCAGACTGGTCAATGAAGTTCCATGCGCAGACTGTCCCGCCAGTTACATAGGCGAGACAAAAAACTTCCCTGAAAGAATACAACAAAATCGAAACGACGTGCGTAGCAACGTCGCACAAAATGCTCTCGCTGAAAATAGCGAAAAGATCGACCACCGCATCAATTTTGACGACGCCCCGGTCATTGACATGGAGGATATCCCCACAAAAAACATTTCTTAGAGTCCTGGCACTTCCAAACAAAGCCTGGAAATGTTAAACGCTTAACTGAAACCTTACCCAGTGTATACGGGCACAGTTTATAGTACGAGTGAAGAAAACATTGCAGCCACAACAATGGCGAAAAGAAAAAAGTATGATGGAAAGGGCGACCCACCAAGAAAACTAGCTTCGGAGCCAGCCAAACAGTCATATCTGAAGAAAGAACCAAATTGGTCGCCAAACGTCAGGTAAGTAACAGTCTTTAAGTTTTGTCTTTGAACTATAACCGGGCTGGCGAGTTTATATTATTAGTATTAAAGTTCGCCCAGCCAGATATATCTGTCGAAGATGTTCACCCTTAAAAGCATTTCGCACTCAATAACTGGCTGAACAGAAGTGTACCAACGAAACTCAGAACATTACAGAACATGAAAAAAGATCGGAGTTTTCCAGGCACTGATGTGCTTCAACATTACAGGGGTTTTGAGAACTGGTGCAAACCGTGTGAACCATTAAAGGGGTTTTGCAACACTTTTCTAAGTAGTCATAGAATAGAACCACTGTAGGAGCTTATTGTCTCACAGATTCAAATTTTTAGAATCCGTCCAGTATGAGCGGAGTTACGAAGATTTGTCAAACACTGCAATGGCATTCTCTTTCCACTCGTAAAGCACTGGAAGAAAATGCATCACGCATGCCTCGTGACCTTAAGCACTTCCCTGCAGCATGCACGGCTTTTCAGTGAAATCGCCTGCGCATTCATAGACAAGCCGTGCGCTCCTGCGGCAGCCCCAGTAACAACTAAGCGCGCCCGCGCTCAAATCAGCCAATGGCTAGCCCACAGTGTCCTTTGTCAAGAAAAAAGAAGGCAATTTTAAGCTGATAAAAAATTCATTGCAAAAGCCAGGCTGCGTGATGCACTGATAATTGGCCTGCGTGTTCTCGAGGGCCTCGACTAGCGATTGTTAGTGTTTTCTGACCAGACTTAAAAAGTGGGCTTGTGCAAATAGTGAATTTTAGGCTCGAAGCAAATAGTGATTTTGGTCGAATAATTTTGAACCGAATTCGAATGGTATATATGACATGTTTTAAAGAAAAATAGGCATATTTATCACAACCTAACTAACCTGCGCAATATTTTTTAAAATTCAATTAAGGCCTCTACACAAATGTCCTTTTTTTTTTTCGTTCAAAAGAAAACATCTTTAAGTAGTAGCAGCATTTGACTTTCGGTAGCATGCGAGAAATAATCTATAAAATACATAACATTTCAAGATTTATTACACTTAGAGCATATAAGCCGTCATAACAACCTTTTAAGCTTTAAAAAATGATGAATCGATTTGAGGGTAATGTGTTCATTTACAGTGGCCTACAACACTTTTTCAAGTAGTCATGAAATATATTCACTAAAAAGCTTACTGCTTCATCAATTCACCTCCACAAAAATTTTTAGAATTCGTCCAACACAAGCAGAGTTGCAAACATTTGTCACACACTGCAATTGTATTCTCGCTTCTCTTCTCTTGAAATCACTAAGATAAGCAGGGAGGGATGGCATGGGCAAAGAAAATGCGCCACGTCCGCCTTGTGACTTTGAGCCCTTTTTCTCTCTTTTTTTTTTTTTTTGAACACGCAGCTTTTCCGTGCGATAGTGCACATACATGTGGACAAGTAACGGCCTCTCGCAGTGGCCCCAATAACAACGGCTGATTTGAGCATGGCGACAAGTGATTTTTATGCTTGTGGTGTGCGTCATTTGCCGAGGAGGAGGAGGAATAAACTTTATTATAAGAAACCAGCAGGTTTAGGTGGCCGGGCCTAGGCCTCTAATGAGAAGACGTCAAGGGCTTGCTTCGACGCCGCCTCACAGGCGTCCTGGGTCGCCCAGGCTTGGTAGTCAAGAGCGGGGCTCCACAGAGCTTCATGGAGCTTCGACGAAAGGGTCGTAATGTTAGTGTGTCTGTACTGTGCCGAAAGAAAAAAAAGTATTTTTTAACTGACTTTAAGAATTTATTGTGAATTGAAGCAGCGTGCTGCGCTATAATATTTGACTCGCGTGTTCTCTGCAGCCACAACCACCGATCGGCAGTGTGTTCGGACCATGTTCAAAGAGCATTGCCGGGCCCCTTTAAATTTGAAATGAAGCTTCGCGGCAGAGCAAATTTTTTCTAAATAGATGCTTTCGCGAGTTAGCATCCCTGTATTGCAGTGAAACCACCTTTACAAACTGTTACATGTGGAATAATAAACATTTGCGTTAATTGCGAATACTTCGAAAGTTTCAATAATTTAAATTCGAATCGAAGTGTATTCAAATATAATACTATTCGCTAGAATATTTAAAGCATTTTAATGTTCCCACAAGCCCATTAAAAAGTGTTGCAGGGCCCCTCTAATGCAGCATCAGACATGTACAGTACTTACAACTCCAAATGCGACATCAAAATTTTTGGCATACCAATTAGTATAAATGATTGCTCGAGATAAACATGACATGTTGCAACAAATCTCGTCTCTAAAGATGGTGTTGGCTTTGATCTTGGTGTTCGAATAAAAATTACGCTGATATAATTCGAACTTGAGACAGAGGAAGCAAAAGTGGGTGCATTGCTTAGCCCTAATTTGTACTACTTCAATCCGTGAGCACTGTAACAGTGCTTAATATATGCCTGCTGTAAAGTCCTTGCATTATGCACTAGCCTGCTACATCTGGAAAGGAAACACTTACAAGCTTACACTTTTTCCAAGATGCCTTGCAGTGTCTTAAAAACTTACCTCTCTGAAGCTTGCATCCACAGTGCGTACCACATTAAGCAACGCTGGCAGCACCTGTGAAAAGCAGCAGATATTGGCAGTTAAGTGAAGAATGCAGCTCATGAAGAAAAGAGAAAAAAAAAAGAATACAAGGTTGGACAACACCCTCAAATTTTTACACATGATAGTACTCACAGAGACATGCAACGAATGGCTGTTTTGTGGCCTGCAGCTGTATCAACATATACAATGTTGTGCCTACTGATGAGGTGTCAGGATATTCCAGCAAAAGCCAGCAGAATGCTTCTATGATGACTTAGCTCTCCTTAAGAGGACCCTTCACAGTAAGCTATGCATTGCCTTTCTCTTGCTGCACTAAAAGATACCTTCAGAATTTGTTGCTGCACATTGCCAATATGAAGTACTCATTATTTTAATCTATTATCCAAGAAAACAAGCCACTCGTAATGACTGTATTGACATGCAGCAGTTGTGTTCAGAAGCGTCAACGTAGACTCTGCGCCTCCAGTAAACTGGCAACAGTGTCTGTAGCATTCTGCAACAATGGACCTTCGCCCTGAAAACATGTCTTTACCCCTCTTTGGGTTGAAAATTCCTCTATCTTTGTATTTTGCTATTAATGAGTGGGACTTTAGAACTGACTAACATTTTATTTTTGTGCACATGTCGATTGACTAATATTATACTAATGTTAGAGTGTACAAGAACAAGAGAGGGCCTGAAAGTGAAGCCCGAACAGGGTCAATCCGCTTGCGGTGCGGCGATCGGTAGTCTGCAACCTGTCGTCATTTCAAAAGTTGCGCATGGCTTTGCCAAAGTATAGCAGAGTTAGAATGCCCACTCCCAGCTCGAAAAGAATCGCAGCTGTGGATGTTGAGTCGCAGCTGTGGATGTTAACTTTGAGTGTAACTGGTTATATAAATGTATTGTTTTTATTTGTTTCTTAAAACTAGCTATACATGAAGTAATACTAAAGAAGAAATATGTCACTCATCATAATGACTTCTAGCACCACTGCACGACATTTATAAAAAGACCTAGAGTACCCCATCCCCCCCCTCGACTCCAAGGTCTTCACGAATACCAGATAGTGGTGGCGAAAAAACTTCATTGGTTTTTCAGGAGAAGGGGAAGGAGCGAGTAGGTGGGTCCCTATTCCAGGACTCCAGTGATTTTCGCTACACACTCCGCCTGGTCCAAGAGGCCTCTTTGGACCTCCAGCCATGGCCGAGCGAGGAGGGTGTCCCACGGCTCCCTAGAGTAAGCTCGTGACCCAGGCGAGTTCGCCTCATGTGGTCTAGCTGCGCATTCCCATGTCTCATGCGGCAGTGGTGGCTGTGCACCACACCATGGAAAAGCCCTGCCATATAAAGCACGATTCATGTGGTGGGCCCTTTCCAAGTGGGGGTAGGTGTGCATTTGAATTCTTCTATATGCGCGAGCTTCTGCGGTTCCCAGCTGCAGATGCGCAAGGAGCTAGACGTTCTATCGTGCGTCGTTAGTGTTCAAGGATGTCTTGTGCCATAAGCGGACCCTTTTGGCATAGGCTTCCCGCTCGGTTCCTAAGTTCTCAAGCCAAGGCGTGCACCCTCTCATTCTCTGGGATGCCCTCATGAACTGGACACCATATGATCGCATGGCATTCTTGGAGTGAGTCACCCAAGATTATTAGTGCAATTCGTGGCAATCTTCCTAGTACGTACATTTTGCACGCTGCTTGAGAATCGAAGATAACTATTGCAGACTGCCCGGCGCTCTCGGAATGTTTTATTGCCATCGCGATTGCTGAGGCTTTAGCTGTGGCTGTGCATTTAGTGTTGACTGAGGCCGTAATGTAAGTTTTAATGCATTGTGTGTTGCAAATGGCTACTATGACGTGTCCTCTGCCAGTCCGAGCGGCATCAGTGTAGAGCATCTCTTGACTGTGTCCGAAGGTTTTAATGAGTTGCTTGGCTCGGGCTTGCCTTCTGCTTTTGTGATACTTGGCATTCATCTTATTTGGTATCGGTGTCACTTGTATTTGCATCCTGGTGTGGATCGAATTCGATGAATTTTGTCACTGCAGTTTGTAAGTCGGACCGTATAGCTCAGCTCAGATAATAGTTATTGTCTAGGTTCTGTTAGACATAGTTGTTCTGTCGTTACAGAGGTTCTGTTGTTACACAGGTTCTCTTGTTACACAGTTATCATAACTGCGGCCTTCAGCTCTTTAAATGTGTTGTATACGCCTATGTCATGGAGTCTTTCATTCGCGGTGTTCACCGGCAATCCTAGTGCCGCTTTCTAGGTGCCCCGTATGACTTGGTCCACCATCTTGATTTTTGAGCAACTTAGGTTTTGATAGGGTAGTGCGTATGTTATCCAGCTAATGATAAAAGCTTGAACCAGTCATATTGTATCACTTTCATGCAGGCATCTCCCTTTCTTAGTGATTCTTCCAATTAGTCGAGCTATTTGCTTCATTGTCATTTTCAGGGTTGCGACAGTGTAATCTGCTCGCCAATTACTTTGGATCAAGAGGCCCGAAACTCGCATCTTGGTCCTTTCTGGAAGAGTGCCTTTTTTAATTTGAAAATGGAGATTTGGCCTGTTGCGGTAATTTTTCTTGTGGACTCTGACCCATTTGGACTTTTTGGGTGCAGAGTCCATGCCATGGTCCGCCATAAAATGTTTAACCGTGCTAATGACCTTTTGCAAGGTGCTTTCCTTGTGGCCTAATGAGCCGTCCATAACGTGATACCACCTACATTTATTGTAAGCTTGAGGTCTTGAATTCCATTTAGCCTTTTCGCTAATTTGTTTATGCCAATGTTGAACAGTAATGGTAATGGTGAGAGTATAGCTGCCTGAGGAGTTCCTTTGTTGGCGAGGTCAATTTTCGGCGATCGTATGTCTTGTAGTCTTATTGTGGCACTTGGACCAGTTGGGAAGGACTTGACATAGTAAAAAATTCTTTGTCCACAGCCCATTTACTGTAGTTCCTCCATGATAAGTTAATGGTGTGCACTCTCCATGCACCAGACAACGTGTAAAGAATATTTTACTTTGATTTTAACAATTATCACCTAGCATGTTCATGTCAGCCACACTGCATTGGACATTATCATGACAAGTCAACACCAGTTTCCAAACCCAGTTCCCTGGGTTTGGAAAATTTGCAGCCTGCATGCTGCTTAATTCACATAAATCACTGTCAGAGTCCTTGAACTCTTTCCTTATCATTATAATATTTGTGTGAACCCTGTGCGACTGACAGCAAACAGGCAGCTGTTGCTAGTATGTCGCGATGTGCACTGTTTTAATGACGTCTTCATATGGCGCTGCGAAGCCAGCCTCTAAATACTGAAACCAAAATTGTTGTTTTAAGGGAGCGGTATTAAAAATATGCCTAATGCATTCCTAAGCACCATGACACCCGTTTTATGGTTCTCAACATCTATGTTTTTATTTTCAGTAACCACCTGAAAAAATTTTAATTTGTGTCACTACTCTTCAAGTGGAGACAACTTCCCAGCAGATTCCAGGGGCTGTCGTATCAACCCCCGTAAATGCACCCAGAAAGCAAAAAAAAAAAAAAGTACATCTTTTTAGCACACCAGTGAATGCTGCTTGCGGTCTGGAGGGAGAAGCAGCATTGGTGGTGTCTTGTCTTGCTCAGTCGGTGCAAAGATTTCGAATGAGCTTCAAGCACTCGTTTGTGGCACCGAGTCACATGAACATTGCTTCATTTTTCAAGTTAAGCATATGCTGCAAAGACGAAGTGAATGGGTAGGTTTTTGTATGATTTCAAGCTAATGCCAGCTTTCTGCTCAATGTAACATTTACATGAGACATTCGAGACCTTAAAGTGGTCCTGCAACACTTTTCACTCTCGACTGACCTGACATCATGGTTTATTGAGCCGTGGCTGGAAATATTTTTTGAATTAGCCAAGTGCAAGCAGACCTACATGAATTTGTCTCACGCTTTAAGAAACAGTAACGAGGAGCACAGAGCGACCTCATTGATCACCAACCTGAGGCACGTATGGCACGCAACGTAGGCCGAGGCTCTGGAAGATGAACACTACCGCTTGAACAACGTTGGTGTGGTGCTGGCTGAGCGTGGGGTCACGCATGATGCGCATGAGTGTCGACACCACCATGGCTGGGTAGAACTCTTCCAAGCTCCCGCCCATGCTTACAAGCATCTCGCTGGCACTGAGCTCTGAAAATAACATGCCACTCTTTCAGGCTGCATCTTGGATTAATATTCAGAGGCCACGCATACTGCCCAGTGTATACCATCGCTAATGACTCAACGACGAGCGAGTTTAACGATCAGGTAAAGCAACAGGGATTTAACGTAGTGATATTTGCTCTTTCGCTCAACATAGAGAGCAGCTGGCTCTCTACGTTGACTAATCCCGTAAATGTTTTTATATTAGAAGCATTTTTTCTCTCCAAAATGTTTCCCTTTTAAAAGGGAAAAAAAAGCTCTTTATATTGAAAAATTAAATGAAAAACACGCAAGGTAATATTAGCATTATAAATTGTTCATGAGAAACGACTATCTATCAGCTGGTAGTAAACAAGAAAAAAAAAAAAAAAACAATGCTAGCCCTTCGGCATTTGTTTCTGTTTGTTTAGACTGGACAAGATGCGGATGCAGAGACGGACACTAGAAGGAAAAACGCCATAACAGAGAGCTGAACTAGCTGCTCCTAAAAAGACAGGGCATGCAAACACAAGACAGAAGGCTTTTTTAAGTCCATCCCGTCTTTTTAAAAATGAACAACACAAACACCAAAGCACCCGTAGTGTTTTCTCCTAGTGTCCCTGCTTGTGTGTATAGCCCTGCGTGCCTTATCCAGTCTAAACATGAGTCAATACGAACTAGCCCAATTATCTGTGCTAGTGACACTGGTAGTTATGGAAGCGACATTATGCTTTTTGAAGCACGTTTTGATGCAGAAAAATGGTACTTTGAAGCAGCTACTGGCGTTTTTGAAGTAGATGGCAAAACATTCAAAATAGCTTCCGGAGTTCGAAGCATCATTTAAAGGGGCAGCGACATCCACTTAGAGGATATTATGTTTTCCAAGATGACACGTAGATATCGACCACTTGGTAACTATTCACTACTGATAATGCAACAACAGGAGGAATAAATATCAAATATTGATTAGTATAACCAGCTTCGAGTGCGATTCAAACAGGTGCCAAGCTTGCCGATTGCGATCACTTCTCCCACAGGTGCTGCCTGATCACATGGCCACACAAAATGATGACATGAGATCCAGCAGACATTTTGTCTGCAAGGCGCAGAAGTGCACACATTTATTCATGACCACCATCATCACTGATGTCACCAGTGCTACAAATGGTGAAGGAAAAAAAAAAAAAACGAATGTTGTGAATCGCTGCAAGACTTTTCGCTTCGATCATCTGCAAAGCAGTGATTCTGACATCAACACCAGTCCAAGCAGCGACGACGAGGCACCTGGAGTGACACAAAACTAGGAACAGGAAGAAACGCTGTGGACAGGGCACGCACTCTTATAGTGTCCACAAAAAAAAAGCAGTCCTGTAGTTCACAACAACAAACGACATATTCAACACAACTTGCCAGTCATCTTAAGGGGGATGCATTCTTTGGTGAAATACATACGTCCACTGCAGGGTACAGAAAAAAGTAAAGGTCTAGTGACAGCTCGGAAAGACCAACCGTCATTCTCTAAATCTATAATCTGAATCACAAGATTAGAAAACCAGTCATTCTCTAAATCCATAATCTGAATCACAGAATTAAAAAAGTAAAGTCCGAGTTTGACATAGGAGTTGCTTTTTCAGCATCAAACTGAAAGGGCTTTTCAAAAGAGTAAATGAGTATGCAAGTGGAAAAAAAGCAAATGGGCTGAAGGGCTTAAGCACAAAAAAACATTGGTCAAAAGCTCAGAAGGTGTAGTTTACAGCATTCCCCTCTCTTCAAATGCACCACCCAGCCAGACCAAGAGGTGCATTGATGAGAGACTAAGTGCGCATAATTCTGCTGTTTCACTTCTAACGCATCATGGTAATTTGGCTTCCCTTTGCAGAGTGCAAGTGCACAGTGATGTTTCCCAACCCAGAAGTTTTGCGGTGATCTTTTGAACACACTGAGAGAAAAATTATGGAAGCTTTCTACATAGATATCAGTGAAAGGTGCACTAGCACTCAATCGATAGCTCTCTCTCTCTCTCTCAAAAAAGAGATGACCATTTTCAAGGAAACCGTATCACTGCATACATAATTCTTGATGCGTTGCAGTGCAATTGTTTGATGCCCAGATGTTTCTTTTTTGTATTCTGTTTTTTATCACTGATTCCCCCCCCCCCCCCCCCCTTTTTTTTCTCCTACATAAGTTTGTTCCCAAAAGTCGAAGCTTTGCTGCAAAGGCAAAGCAGTGAACGCAATAACAACAAATCGGAAGGTCACGCGCAGAATAGCAAGAAGATTGAAACGTGCCCCGCGTTTCTCACGCACAAATGACGCACGAAACGTACTTACAGGTACAGATTAACACTAATAAGCATCTCAGTTGTTACTTCGCTGAGTCTAAAAAGTGTTACCCTTTTGGCAAACGGAGACTGTGCAACAATTGCAGTGACCTTTGTGTGCCTAGTAACTACTACAACAGATTCGTTCTGGTGAAAGCCCAATGCCAGCCAAGACGTACAATCCTTCCCACCGCAAGATAAGGGCACACGAGTAAGCGAGCGTCCACCTCCTTCTCTCTGCAGGGCAAAGTACGCGTGGGAGATGAGAGCCCGTGCCACCTTGTCGTGACAATGTGGCAACACGCGTTCATTGCCTCATCTTGCTGGTAATGCTAAAAACATGATAGTTCTCCCCCCCCCGCTGAGATGCCCACTAACAGTGGTAAGTGGTAGATATATATAGCTTGCTGTTTGAATGTTGAAGGAGGTGCTCCTCTGTGGCTCAGTGTTTAAAGCCTCGCGTTCATTATTCACAAGTCCCACATTCGCTTCCGCGCGCAGTCTTTTTCTCAATTATTTTTCTTTCTTTCGTTTATATATATATAGATATGTATACATACACGGCGCATGACGCCGGTGGCGAAATCCAGCGGAGAGTGTCTATAAAATTGCTATCGCAACAAAATAAAGTAGTTGTTAATTTGCACATCACTCCGTGCCGTCTCTCGTTCTTTTTTTTCCCTGTAGCCTGCAGTACATCACAAGCATCAAGACGTACCAACTAGCCCCCATTGCCACCTTATAGGTATAAAATATGTCTACATCTGCCGTCTCCCTTACGCCAGGCTTGCCTTCATTGTCCACACACACACACATACTCTGTCACATCAAAGCTGGTCCATCTTGTGTATATCACCTACAAACTCTGAAGAGCACCACTATCTCTGAATGTTAAGGCTAATGTTCCAATTCATCCCGGAGACGTCTGGACAGACGTAAATTGTATGTGCAGTCTTTCCTGAAAACCTTTATAAATTTTGCTGTAACGAAGCTATGCCAGACGTTATTTCATCTTTTAATAATGCTATTTAATACTCACTTGAAAAAGACTTGTATAGCCGCTTGAAAGGGACACTTCAGGCAAATAACAATTTATGTTAAGAGTGAAAGATCAATGTTTGAGAATGTCTAATACGTCATCATTACCAACACCAGTGCTCTACTAATCAAGAAATCAGGGTATATGTACAACATCATATGCGGCATAAGTGAGATATTTTGAAATGATCCCAGTGATGTCAAACGTGCCGAATACAATTGAACTGGTTGCAATAAAAAAAGAACTTTTCGTGCATTGCAACACGTAATAAAATGCTGCTTTCCCTTTTCTCTTTCATTATGAAAAAAAGAACAGAACCACTTGAGGTTACCATGGGGAATGGAGCAAGTGGTTCAAAATGTTCGTTTTCACCTGGTTAGAATGGATAGGTGGCGCTATCTCATGGGACCCAGTTGAACCAAGCAAACACAAAACCTTTGTTGTAGAAACATCTCGCATTTTACTTCTGGTGTGAATGCTTTGGAGCGACAAAAGTATGAATGAGGTGCCTTTTCAATGCTTTTTTTTCTTCAAAAATGTTAGGCTAGTACAAACGTGTCCATGACTGTGATTGCACAAAGCGTCACAACTAGGCTGTGCGAATTTTCAAATGCTTAGAATATTCAAATGAATTGTAGAATATTCAAATTTATTTCAATTTGAATTTAAATTAATGAAAATTTTGAAGTATTTGCTATGGACTTACAGGTGTATAATACTCCGCATGCAATCACTCGTAAGAATGGTTTCACTGCAGTGTAGGAGTGCTAAACCGTGAAAACACCTTGCCAAAAAAAAAAATGGCGTTCTGCCATGAAGCCCCCTTCAAATTTAAAGGGGCCCTGCAACACTTCTCGAGCATGGTCAGAAAACGCTGCGGATCGGTAATCAAGGCTACCGAAAACACGCGATTCAAATATTATAGCGTATCACGCTCGCCTGCAATTCAAAATAAATTCTCAAAGTCAGCTGAAAATTGCTTTGTTCCTTCAAAACATGACACCACAAGCTCAAAAATCACTTGTCACAGGCATTTTATCTGCCATAGGCTGGTTTGAGCGTGGCAGCTCGGTCGGTACTGGGGCCGCCGTAACTTGTCGACACGTACGTGCGTGGTTGCATCAAGAAGGCACATATTCGAATAAAAAAAAAGTGCGCAAAGTGACGAGGTGCGCTTGACGTATTTTATTTCCCCAGGTCATCCCTCTCTGCTTTGTTTCTAGCACTTTCGTCGGGACGAGAAGTGAGAATGCAATTCCAGTGTGTGACAAATCTTTGCAACTCAACACGTAGCGCATGGATTCTGAAAATTTTTGTGGCGGCGAATTCGTGAGGCTATCACTGAATTCAGTATATGACTACTTGAAAAAGTGTAGCAGGGCCCCTTTAAATGACCATATTACCCTCAAATTGATTCCTCATTTTTTATTAAATTTAAAAGCTTTTTATGCTGGCTTATATACTTTAAGTATAGTAAATTTTAGAATGTTACACATTTTACAGGTTATCACTTGCATTTTACCAAAAGTGGAATCCTGCTACTACTCAACATTGTTTCGACTTCCTTTGAATGAAAATGCATAGAGGCCTTGTTTCAAATTTATAAAATATTTTGCCGGTCACTTAGGTCATAATAAATATGCCCATTTTCCTTTATATGTCATATACACTATTTGAATTTGATTTGAAATTATTAGACCAAAATCATTATTCACTTCCAATTTGCTTTCAACCTAAAATTCACTATTTGCCCAAGCCTAGTCACAACACGTCGACACCACGTACGGTAAACTTCCATTCCTACAAGCCTTTGCGTATGTTGGGATACTAAACACACTAAAACCTCTTACGATTTTGCCAATGCGGTGATTCAACTTTATTTAAAATAAATACACTTTTAGTACAGTTATCATCATTATTTAGAGGTTTGCGTAAACTTAAATGTATATGTTTACGTATGTTCATAAACGCCTATATATAGTGTGCTAAAACCTTGCTAAATTTTGCCAAAACACGAGTTCTGGTGACACGGTAAATCCAATCCAGTAAAGTGGTAACACGGTAATGTTGATAACCATATATATAAGCTCAAAGCCCCTGATGTCACGTGTGTATGATGTTACTGGATGCCTGACCTGAATAGTGTACGCCGTTTGGGCTCTAGCAGGCTCTAGCAGACAAACTGATGTGACTCTTCACTGGGTGTCTCATCGTCATGTTCACCGATCACATAAATCGCGGCAAGCTTTAATGGCCGTTTTTGCAGCTGTGCCCCCCCCCCCCCCCCTACTTCTGCTCTGCTGCTGCTAATGCCAGTGCCGTGCAGTAAATGCAGGCAACGTTGGACAAGGCAACTGCTACACCGAGACAATGATTTGGAGTGCGCTAATGCCTTGCAGACCACTAAAATGTGACTTGATTTTAGAATAAGCATTTGCTTAGCACGAAAGCAGCATTACGAGGTTTCTGGACTACCATTTCAGCAGTCAACGTTGACTTAGTATTAGTACTTGCCTTCAGTATCCCTTTAAGAAGTCCAGAGAGGCCCCATACAAACGACCCAAGTGCAGCAGCCAGTTGATTTTAGGACTTAATAGTCGTGCTCATGCACTCTGCAGTGCTTTCCAAAAGTTAATTCACCAGCCGTGTGGCGCTTAATGTCAATGCATCTTGGTTGAACAGCGCACACGAGACGACGGCGAAGTAAAAGAACACAGACAGGCCCTGATTCGCAACTAACATTTATTTGTGAAAGAACAGCTGATATATATATGTGAAGTGCAACTTAAAAAAATGTAAAAAGAAATAAACAGCAATACATCCAAACACGCCACAAGCAATGGAAAAAATATAACATTGGCATCATCTTTTGCAGCAAGAAAGATAGTTAAATTCTGTGTCGCTCAGCACAATTGACGGCATGCTGACACACTTACCGTTTTTTCTTCGAATATGGAAGGCTTCAATTCCTTCTCTTGCTAATCAATTTCTATGATACGACAGTATTATTGCATCGCCGAAGTAAGGCACGCAGCCGAATTCGTGACAATAAGCGGCGAGGGAGTACAGTTTTCAATCTGATAATGAGCAGTTGTGTTCCCGGAGGTGAACGTTGATGTATCTTCCACTTTGGCCAATGCAAGTTTTACCGCATGATAAGAGAATTCGATATACAATGGCTTCTATACATTCAGTATATTAGAAGGTGTGATTTATTCCAGAGTTGCCAGGAACACTTTCACTCGGCTTAGCAATGCTTTTTTACACTTTTGCGCACATAGACACAAGCTTATCAGGAGACGAAAAAATAACGTCAATGGCATATCGTTTGGCCACGTTTTTCAAACCATGTGCTACTCGAGTATAGGGTACGGTGTGCTTTTTTGCTATGACAGTCTGTTCATCATTCCCAGCCCCTGTTCCATTCGTTTCAAGACATCTGCGTCATGTGAGGAAACAAAAATTGGGGGACCCTTAAGCTTCATCTTTAGGCGTTGAGCACAATAGCGAAGTCCGGCCCCTAGTGCACCCTTCAACCGCTAATTAAGGCTGTAAGCAGGAGTGTGTAGTAACAAGTTCAAGTGGGTTACACACACACACACACACACACACACACACACACACACACACACACACACACACACACACACACACACACACACACACACACACACACACGCACGCACACGCACACACAGTAGATTGTACCAGGGCGCGCTATTATCGCCGAATGGGCTCATTTTCGTCGTGACACCTGTCGAACAAAATGTGTGAAAGGGGCCCTGAAACACTTTTTCAAGTAAACATGAAATGAATTCACTAGAAGAGCCTATTGCATCATGAATTCAACGGCGCAAAAATGTTAAGAATCCGCCCAGTGCGAGTGGAGTTACAAAAGTTTGTCGCATGCTACAATTGCATTATCTCTTCTTTCGTCCCGACGAAAGCGCTGGAAGCTAAGCAGAAAGCGGTGGCAGGGGCGAAGAAACTACCACGCCTCGTGACCTTGAGCCCTTCTTTTTTCTTCGAATGCACCACTTTTTCAGGGCGATCGCACGCACGCATGGACAAGTAGCTGTCTCTTGCGGCGATCTCTGTAACTTGCTTTTTCGGTCACAGATGCACAGACAATTTTTCGCTCACAACCAACGGGGCCGACGTCAGCGGCGGGATTTTTGTGACATGAGCTCTCTAACACTATCACGTTAAAGATTTGTACTATCATTATGACTCGCAATGATCTAACAATGAAGGCACACTTCATGCAAAGTAAGTTGCTTATAATGGGACATAGCTATGCTTGTGCGAATAGCGAATTTCCGGTTTAAAGCGAATTCGAAGTGAATAGTGATTTTGGTCGCATAATTTTGAATCCAATTCGAATAGTATATACAGTGGACTCTTGGTAAACAGAAATCTGTTAAACGGAACTGCTGCTTACATGGAACAACTTCCTCTGATATGATTGGTTTCATACTTAATGCGGCAACCAACTTCCATTCTCAGTAAACGGAACTCCTGTTAAACGGAACACATTTTCCCGGTCCCTTCAAGTTCCGTTAAATGAGATTGTACTGCATTGCATATAAAAAAATGGGCATATTTATAATGAACAAACTAATTAGCACAATATTACTTTTTTAATTGAAAATGAGGCCTCTATGCAAATTCAATTTTTTTTCGTTTAAAAAAAGTCAGAACAACTTTGAGTAGTAGCAGGATCTGACTTTCAGTATGATGCGAGTGATAACCTGTAAAATATGTAACATTTCAAAATTCATATTGGAGCACACAAGCCATCAAAGCTTTTAAGCTTAAAAAAATGAGTAATCGATTTGAAGGTAATATGTTCATTTAAATAAGTCCTACAACACTTTTTCAAGTAGCCATGGAATGGATTTACTAAAGAAGCTTATTGCCTTCCGAATTCACTAGCACAGAAATTTTAAGAATTCGTCCAGTACGAGCGGAGTTGCAAAGATTTGTTGCACGCTGCAATTGCATTTTCTCTTCTCGTCCCGACGAAAGCGCTGGAGCCTAAGCATGGAGGGATGGCATGGAGGGATGGCATGGGGAGAGGAAATAAATTACACACCACACGCCTCGTGACCCTTGAGCACCTTCTTCCTCGCTCTCTCTTGTTTTGTTTTTTTTTTCTTTTTGAGTACGCTGCTTTTCACAGGGATCGCGCACATACGCCTGTACAAGTGGCGGCTTCCCGTGGCGGCCCCAGTAACGACCGAGCGCGCCATGCACAAATCGGGCAACGGCTGATACAATAGCTTTGTCGATTGATTTTTGACCCTGTGGCATTATTTGCCCAGAGAAGTAAGAAATTTTCAACTGACTTTGAGAATTTATTGTGAATTGCAGGCAATGTGCTGCGCTATAATAATTGGCTCGCGTGTTCTGAGTGACCTCGACGACCAAGAGGCAGCGTTTTCTGACCATGCTGAAAAAGTGTTGCAGAACCCCTTTATATATAAAGTAGGGCTTCGTGGCAAAGTGATGTTTCCCTGGACAAGTGCTTTCACGGCTTAGCATCTTTACATTGCAGTGAAACCACTTTTAAAAGCGGTTACATGCAGATTGATATACATCTATTCGTTCATTGCGAATACTTGGAAATTTTCAATGATTTGTATTCGAATTGAACCGAATTCGAATAACGTACTATTTATTCGAATACTCGAAGCATTAGAATATTCGCACACTCCTTGACATAGCACATGAATCAAGGAGGACAACTAGTGCATGTAATCACTAGCATTTGAGCAAATGATTCACCTACCTTGACTTTCTGGCGGAACCACACTGATGCTGACAACTGCTCCCGAGTCACTGAAGTCATCGATCATCCCCATGTTCAACTTGTGTTTGAATGGGTCCAGTGCACCAAGCAATCCTAGCACCCGAATAGCCTAAAAAAGGGAAAGCACACAGATGCAAGCAGTTGTTGCTTTGCAGTGGATGAGGTTGACTTACAATACCAGAAAAACGGCAAGTATAAGGCTCAAGTGATCCAAACTACTGTCTTCAAGTAATGAATATACATGAACCTATCATGCACCCGATTTCACGAGTTCTAAATAAAAGTATATGCTAACTGTAACCAGATTTTAACGGCAACAGCAACAACAAAAAACTGACAAGCTGAGATGCTTATGTTGATGATTTGAAAGAAAAAAAAAACACAAACACAATCTTCCAGTTGGACGACTGCCCCCAGCAACTTCACCAAATACCGTATGATGATCTATTACGAGGCAGCGATGCCTTAACCCTTTCAGACGCTTTGTGCGCAATTGTGTACATCATTTGTTTTTGCTAGTAGGGCCGAATAGGGGCTAAGGATGAAATGAACCTCCTGCCTAATAAAGTTATAATTATTTAACTTTAGTTTTGACTGTACTGTTGCATGTAATCACTTTTCCGAAGGTGCTACCGCGGTCGACGAGTCACTCGACGTGGCGCTTTCCTAAAGGCACGTCGAAATATATACTTTTTTCAATATCAACAAAACAAGAAAACAATTTGCAGTATACTTATTGTTTAAGATTAGATTCTATATATGCAAGAACCAAACATGAATGACTTCAGTATAAGTAGATATTTTAAGAAAGCTTAATTCCGATTAAGTGCTAGGAAATAAATAAATCTATTATAAAATTTATTTAAACAAAACTTCACTACCTAAGCTAGTTTTTCATGCTGATTTTAAATCTCTAATTTGTTTCTTAATATTTCAAGTGGTCTAGAAAATATGAAGGTCTGAATCTTAAGTAATTGCGTACTTCTTACGGGACTTCTTGGCAATTTATTCTTGCTAAATCCAAAAAGTGAATGCACCTTTCCAAGAGGGCATTGTTGCTCAGCCGCCTTAACACAGGCTCCAATGCCTCAGTTACGAAATCAGGCAGGCTGTCCTAGTGTGGTGGCGGCTTCTCATTTCTCGCAAGAGCTCTCTGAAATTTGCACCAGGATTCAGGGCCTTCAGGGCAAAGTAATGCTTTGGTGCCTCGTCAGTTGAAGACATGTGGTTCAAAGTTGCTAAACAGCCTTCTGCATACCTGGAACATCGTTCCTGTGGCTTCTCAATGCGTAGCCATAGTATCAGGTGATCTTCTTTATCTTTTGTTGCATAAGTCTGCCCTTTCCATAAGTGAGCCACCTTGAGTTTTTTTTTTTTTCTCTACAAGGGAACGTAAGGCAGCTCCCATACGCTTGTCTACATTATTTATGCAGTCCTTTTTGCCCACCTTTACGAAGCTGTACACCTCTTTTTCTGTGAGTGCATGGAATGTCCTGCTGTCGCCGTTCGACAGCATTGTCGTATAACGAAGCTGGCGCTTTTCAAGTGACTGCTCAAACAAGCATAGTGCTGCCTCCACTTCCATCTGGCCAGCATTACAATCAACATTCTTCAGGCACAGAGGGGCATGCTGAATCAGCCAGGCAGAATGTCCTTCTTCTCCTTCTTTGGGTCCTGTGGTGCAAGCCAGGCAAAAGTTCGATAGCACGATATGGTCTATCACGAGGCCACTAAACATCTCAACAATGCAGCCAACACATATATGCGAGCTATGCCCCCCGTAAGCCAGGTGCCGTCATAAATGACGTCGACGTTTTCGGGCGCGTTGCCGAACTCCGCATAGAGCTCCATGACGCGAGCAACGCTCACCGCTTCGCATTCGGCAGCAGTCGCACAGCAGGCTTCTTTCATTATATTCATGTGGCTTTGGTAACTCTTGTGGTGAAGCCCTCGATGCGAAATATTCATCCCGGCGAAGAAGTCCGACAGAGGCGTTGCCCCCTTGCCGATACTGTTGATGGCCTTCATGGCATGCATATTAACTTCAAACGGCCTTATTTTGGCGTCGGTCTCGTTGGCTATACGTGGGGACGAAAAACGCTCTTTGCTAAAGTCACAACTGCTGCACGTGACTATGAGCGTCGAACACAACTTGTACTCTTTCTTGGCCTTTGAAATAGTGATGCTTCTTTCACCGCATTCTGGGCACGCGACAAGTCCAAATAACGAGCGTATCGCCGCCAGATCAACAATAACAAAATCTGTTCCGTTTTTTTTGCCACCATCCTCCAGATCAATATCTAGTAACTCGAACTTACGTTCCGTCGCGCACTGCGATGCAAGTGATGCCTTCAAGCCCGCTGCATTTCTCACACACTCAACAAACTCGTTCGCAGAATAAAACGCCGTGTCAATGCAGTCTAGGATGTTGCTGGAAGTGCAAGATGACGATCCGACGACGACACAATCCGATGAGGTGCTGCTGCAAGGCACAGGAGAGTGCACCGCTTCTGACACAAGCGGCCGCGGCTGCGCGCCGTCGTCGAAATGCGCTGCTTCGGCGGCATCGGGCGAAATCGGCTGCACGTTGTCGGCCGCTTTCTTCTGGCGGGCGTTCCACGGGCGCCTCCGTTTCTTGCCGTACGCATGACACGTCTTCTTCTTTAGACGAGCTTCTCCAATCATGCCGGCAAAAGACGGAAAGTCAGTGCGTCGGTCGCTTAGCACAAGCAGGCACGTGCGGGAAGCAGACTAACAACGTGCGCGAATGGGAACCGGTGGCCGACGAACAATATAAAAAAAAAAGCGCGGACGACTTTGGCCGCATCAGCCAATGGGAAACGAGAAACAGAGGGCTCGCCTGGTGCACGTGCGCTCCGGCCAATCAGCAGCCCCGAAGGGGGCTCCGGAAAAGGGGCGAGGGAAGCCATTCTATTTAAGCGACGCCATTTTGAGAGTGGCAAAATGCGCACAAAGGAATCAGCTTCAAAACAAGCCCAAGATGGCAGCGATCAGCCAACTGCCTCGCTGGCGGCGCGCGCGGGAAGTTTGAACGAATTTGACGTGCCGTGGGTTGTTTTGCGGCTCCCGTGGCGACTTCATAATCAATTTTAATCTATTTACTGATCAAATTCAGCGTTCACAATTTGAGGACACGTGCTTATATGTCTAAAAATTTCAAATATCGCATTTTCTCAAAATCGACTTTTTGGGCATTTTTCACCATTCTAAGACCCGCGTCCCCCCTAAAAGCATTTTAAAATCTAAGCACATGGTTCTTTCTGCGTAAACCTTGCCCATCATTAAAAAATGGCACATGACAACGCTGTTTTACAAAGAGTTTAAGTACTGAAGTGTCACGCTTTACTTGATAGAATTACTTCTCTGTAGTAGTACCATAGCCAGAAAAACATAACTAAAGCACATCGCCTAGTCGATAAAGTATATACAGGCGTAGCTATACGCCTAACAACAAGGTGCAAGTGTATGGCCTAGAGCCTAGTTTTTGTTTACAATAGAGGCGTTAAACCACTGTATTCACAAACTACTTAACAATCCCCATGTTTGGGACGATGCTAAATGCGTTTTATGATGTGCTTGAAGCAGAAAGCGGTCCTTACACTGAAATAATTCTGGTGAGTGGAGGGTAAGACGACTATAAAAAACACTTTGTTAAAGTTGCACTCGTTGATCTTACTACGGTGCATTAGCAGCCAAGCAAGGCCGTATACTTTCATACGTCGTTTCAGGTATATGCACAAGCAGTTAAGCTTGCGCTAACATATCCTAACAAACCACCCTTAACGAACGTACATGACGTACTTCTCCCACAGGCAAACATGACGTGGCTAGCAGTCGACGCAGGTAGCCATCGACACCTGCCCCTTCGGCCAGTTGCCACCAGGTGGCAACTTCATTCGATCTTGCAGCCAATAGCAACAAACTGTTATGTTATACAAAGTATAGCTTGCAGCTAACTCTTTTGGATCCGCTGTCGCGTAACTCTACATATTGCTGAATAGATGCTTTTCTACCTGTCTGTTCACATTGACAGCGCAGCACATTACAATTGTTTACAAGCCATTCTTCCCGATATAGCACACTCGCCATCGATCTTGACCTTAGAATCAAAGTTCACAGCTGCTGCTCAAATGATCACAGCCTTGACGACACCACTAACTAATATAACTGTTTCGATGAAACTGAAAGTACATTGTTTTAACCATGTTTACATGCACAAGGGCACTTTGCAGCTAAATTGACAAGCTGCGGTGCAGTGTGGCGCTAAAAGCAAGATCGGTGCAACAAGAGTGGTTCGGCACAGGATAATGCAAGTAAACCAGTTTGGCGCACAATGGCGAAAAGGCCGCAGTTGTTCCACCTGTGCTGCAGTGAAGTGGTGCTACGCAGTGAAAACACATATTCAGGGGAAATACAGACTGCCGCAAAGCCCCACTTCAAGGTTATATGAGAAAATTACCCTCACATCGATTCACTTATAAGTTTATAAGTTCTTTATGCAGAATTACATGCTCCTATTTTCGCAAAATTTAAAAAGTAACATTCAAAAATGCAACATTCAAATATACAGACAATTCAAAGTTGTTTCTGCTTTTTTTGATGAAAAAAAAAAAGACCTTTGCACAGGCCTTGTTTCAATTAAAAAATATTGTGCAGGTTAGTTAGGCCATGACAAATATGTCCATTTTCTTTATATTATGTGACGTATATACTATTTAAGTTCTATGTGAAATGATTCGACCATAGTTAATATTCACTTCGACTCTAAAATTCACTATTCGAACAAGCGTAGTAAACACAGCTGGCTATGTGACCACGCGAAACTGTGACATGGTGGCGTGCGCAAGAGCATGAATGAGCAGGTGCTACACTGACAGCCAAGCCAGCATACACAAAGACACAGGCACAGAGGAAGAAACCACAGGACGGTGCACCGTATATGACTCATGACTGCACCATACATGACTCATGATTGGTGTATTGTATATTGAACTCCTGCACAACAGGACATCCGCTATGTTGAATGTTGTGCCACAGTGAAGTCCAGAATGTGAATTTTTTCTAGCAAATGGCAATTGATCAATTTTT